TCTATCATCAAACAAACTTCTGACCATTATAACCTGAATCACACCCACTATGATCATAAGAGCCAGTTGTGCCATGGAAAAGGTATTCACTTTGAAATAGTTCTCTTCAGCAACATTTCTATCTCTTGCTTCACTGGATTTAATCAACTCTTGCAGGTTCCGCACTTTTGTTAAATGGTCTCTCATAGTGTTTATAATTTGTTGAACATCTTCAATCCTTATATCATAATTTTCATTGTCACCAATAGCATTGAAATCAAATTTTTCATCAGATCCCCAACCATCACCATCTTCACTGTCTATAATGAGCTCAAAGAACACTGTTTTTGTGTTATAGGAACTGAATGAATTGTCAAAGCAAAATCTATAATCTCCAGGTATCTCTGCATCAGATCTATGACTATTCTCAGACTTCTTCAAATCAACTAGTAGGATCCTACCATTCGGATCTACTAGCCGAAAAGTAATGTCCAAATCTCCGTGCCCACCATCTATTACTTGATACTCTATATCTATTGATTCTCCTTGCTTTGCATTCTGATAGAAACAACTCTCAGTTCCAGGATCAATGTATATTGTTAATTCCTTCTCAAGAGGTTGTGCATAGTCTATGATATAAACTAATGAGAACAAAATCATAAACTGTCTCATTTTCTAGTCAAAACTACTCAAAACCACTGTTTCAAGATCAAACTGGTGTATGTAGAAATATTACAAAAATATCTCTGACTCATATCACCATAACACGATATCAAGATAATATTATTAACAATCAACATTCAGCGATTCAGTTGCAAATTGGTTGCAAATTGCAAACGACTATCGAGGCTCAAAATAATCAAGTCAAACTTCAAAGAAAAGAACTAAAAAAAAATATATATTCAAATCTTTAAAAACAGACACGAAATGACATTGACAATGATGACTTGTTATTAATTTCTTGACTTTGACAAATGACGGAATCGACACCACGATGTATCCACTGAACCACTGACGGCTAAATATCTAGACTGTCTGACGGGTTATACACATCGTATTAATAAACTGAACAATACGGATCATAACGGGTGCCAAAAATATGAAACAAATGAATATCCATAAGGATTTGGTGGCATGATTATTATAGTACTCATCAAAGACATGCTTTTCGGTGGACAATGACGTTTACTAGCCTTTCAATCAAAGCAGTATGTGTCTGATCGTTTCAAAACGTTTCCTTATGGATAGTCATTTGTCTTCAAAAATCGGCTTCATGTTTCGCTATGGAAACAGATAGAGATTATCCGTATTGATTATTGATACGTATATGGTTATACATGACTGTTCATTTAGCGAAAATCGCCCCAATCGCCATGTAATGAAATTTCGAAGGGACAGCATGTGGCGTCATCTATTTCCTGTGTCAAATGGGCTATTCAACATGAGTTACTTATTCACTGCATCTAGCCATCTAGCCAGTTAATACTGACAGGGACGGACAAGAAAAGTTTCTCAGGCGAATATTCACTATTATCTCCACGAATGGGTACAAAACTTACTTTCAAATTCATTTTGTTGTTTCATATGGATCCACCATATGTTAGGTTATCTTCTTCAGGTTATAATACGCAATCTTCATCTCCTTCTCCGATTTAGTGTCATTACTGTCATTAGCCATATTATATTCATGCCAATGATGGAAATAAGTAGTGTTTGGCCATTTTTACGTGTTGAAAATTTAAGAAAAATCACTCGACCGCCTACTACTATTTCTCTACGCCTCATCGAGCGAGACATTGGTTCTACATTTTTCCGCTAAATGGTGGTGCTGCTAATGCTGCTGTGACCAGTGGAAATAAAATGGCAAATGGCATTTTAGGTACGCGGAACAGATGTAATAGTGGGATTATTTAACTCTGAATTCGAAAAATCTGCAGCAATTTAGTTATTGACAGATGTCATAATTGTGTCGCCATCTATCCGAAAACCGCTAAAAACATTGTTCTCGGGACGCATCAGTAAGTACACCATCTCCTTATTTCCATCATTTTCCTGACATATATAATTATTTCGATAAGGATATTTTGATAAATGACAATCAGAAATATCTTTGCACTTATCTCAGAGAGATGGAGAATGAAAACGTAAGTCGAACCTTGTATGGTTGCATTTGATTGGTTATGGCTATTCTCGGATGATTACGTCACGCGTGATGATCAATAATTATTCAAAATAGTTACAGAACTCTGAGAAAAAATGGTTGACGACAAATTAACTAGTTACGGTTAGTACTCAGAAATAATGAAATAAAATATTTCACTGAAACAGGCCCATTCAGGACGTCCTGCGAAATGCAGGACGGGTGGCTACCCTATAGTCATCCAATAGTGGAGGAATAATGAATCAGGGTGCTCAGATGATGTTAGTTCGGATGTTCGTTTTTTTTTTTCATTTCATTATCTAAATAACTCGAGAATCACAAGTTTTTAAAGACGAGTTTCATTCTTATTGTTGGATATTTTGTGTCCTAGTATTGAAATAATGTATGGTGTTATCACTTCATATATTGAAAGGAGTTATTTCGAAATCTCTCGATATCGCCTACTTTGTAAAAATAGCGAGGCATGGTAGAATCTTGCTAAATTGCCGAAATTTCAAACCAAATTTACAGGTATCATGACACATTCATTTGAGTTCACAAAGTCATTTTCACAGTTTTTTGTTTAAATGGAAATGGTGCGTTATATTTTCGACTTTCAATGGTGAATTCATAAACACGAAGTCCTAACTCAAGAAAACCCTGTGATAATAGTTTATTTACTCACTTTTGGTACATGAAATAAAACGAATGTTCGCATTTTCAAATAATCCTCACACATTGCAGTCCGGGCGCCATACATTTTGCTATTTACCCACTGAACTATAACCCTATGGTATAGTTCAGTGTATTTACCAGCAAGTTCGATGCAATGCAATTTTGAATAGAACAATGCTCATGCGTATATAATATTTCACGACAAGTTTCATGCAAGTTTCGTAATAGAACCAGTCCTATTTTTCCTGCAATTTCAAGGCAAGTTTAGTAAAATTTTTAGTAATATACATCGTAGCATCTTGATAAAATACTAATTTTCTCCATAACGAGACCTGAAACACCAAATAACCTCAAAAAGTACATTGAAGGCTCAAAAAACTGAAAATAGTGAATATGAACAAGAAAATATGACAGAAATATCTCAATGTACGGCGACTCGCAATAAATTGAGAAAATTGCATTGCTTCAAACTTGCCGAGAAATAGCATAATGTACGGCGCCCTTTATGAAAGCAGTTGATGAACTGAACTAGTAAGGTAATGCAATGCTCTCAATCTATCAATATAGGTTTGTTCTCGTTCGAAAAATGAACAGTCCAAAAATATAAATAGCATGCGCAGTTCCACGGAACATCAAAAATGTCAACAGTTCTGTGAAAGTGCGCACGCTCCTGATGGTTTCGGACTGTCTATTTTTCGACAATGAACTCAATTTACATTCAGTTCATTGTTTTTCGAACGAGAACAAACCGATTTTTATTTGAAATTTGAATAAAAATGACACTCGTGGCATATATGTCAATATTCAGTCAAGATCAAGATGTTTTCGCACGGATTATTGCGCCCTGTCTCTTTTGCATCAGCTCTACCAACCTTGAAATTGTCTATCGTTCACCCCATCTATCATCGAATATGAGAACCCCGCGTTCCGAACTCTCATTCATTCGTTCATATCGAGAGCTATAGGAAACCCCATTGGCAAGAACTTCTAGAGTGTTTCTGCACCCAATGTATATGTTTCCTTCTTACTCTCATGTGTTGAACGAGGTGAGTATACATTCAGTGGAGAAACATCCCACGTGTGCACACTAGAGTCCCTGTATGTATTTGACACTTTTGCTGTAATAAAACAAAACTGACAAATATTTACAGGGAATTATACATACAGGGACTCTAGTGCACACGAAGAATTATAAGCATCCCAGTTCAAATCATGATGACATATGCACGAGAGTCTAAAGTTCACGAACGATTCCCAAACCTGTGAATCACTTGATACACTATGGACGCATGCGCATTCGCTTGTAAAAAATTGGACCAGAATAAAACTCCCTCACCAAACTCAGCCTCTGCAATTTTAGAAATGATAATAAAAAAAAACGAATCTCAATGTCAATATATCACGTGATGGCAATGGTTCGAAAGATTTAGGTCCTTCTAAATAGGCAACCTGGTGCGCGTGGCATGAAATCATGGTTGCATTGTTGCGAAACGAGGTATGAGCATTCTACCGTGACATTCACGTTGCACGTTGCATTCCAGTATTTACTCCAATTCACATTGTTTAGCAGAAAATTATCAAACGAACAAGCTTCAGTCACAGTCAGAGCCATAGAAATCAAAGTTCTGATTCAGTTCTGATATTGATGTTTTGTGAATAGCTTCACTCCCAACGTCCAGATGGCAGCACAATTTGAAATTTTGACGAGTGACGACTGACGAGTTGTTTTGAGCGATACATACACATACATCATGGCGCCTGTCGCAGAAGTTTGTGTTGGTGTTAAGTGATTGTTTCCAATTATCCAGTGTTTAGTTTTGCGCGGTCTCGTGCGTAAGCGAGCGAATGTAATTGTTCACAAGTAGTTGTGTTGATTGTTATTTAATATTTCAGCCCGGCAACACATACATCTGAGAGATGACGATATGGGGCACATTCCAGCAGTCAACAACCTAGTTCTACGAGAGCAGGTGTTGGATTAACAAACAATTTAAAAGGATCGATTTGTTGCTGCCGCTTTTTCAACTGATTGTGATGGTAAATCCTCGAAACTGTTCACATCCTCAAAACAATACGACATGCAGGTAAATAATAATAATTGGTGTTGATCTTACAGCTCCATTTAAAATGATTTTCCTATTTGGATTTCAGATCAACCTCGAGCTGAAAAGGGGCTCAACTAGAGAGCCGTTGATATGCTGTTACGATGGCAGGAAAGCCTGACTTATCAGCAGGACCTGGAGTGCAAAATGTAGTGGTTTATGTATCAAACGACAATTTCGCTCAGGCGTACACTGTAGGCCAACAAAATGTACCCCAGAACGCCCACCTCCTGCACAACGCCGCATACGGGAACCCCCCATCGATGGCCCCCTCGCTGGGACCTCCAAAAACCTTCCAGGAGAAGCACAGCCTCAAACCACCAGAGTATTCGTCCAGCGAGCAGGTTCAGCAACAAGGTGGCTACTTTGCCAGTGTGATATCTCAGGGTTATGCCAACAATGTGAACTATCCCAATGGGGCTGTATTGAAGAGCTATGGGAATGGGGAGGTCCTTTCAGTGGACAGACAGGCTGTTCCTGTCAAAGTGCGCGAAGATTGTGATACATACGTGGATTCGGGTTACGTGACGGTAATGGGGGCTGAAGGGGCCCCGCACAGTGTTCGTTGTGATTCAGCGCGTTCGGAGACAGCGGAATCTAGTTGTAGCAGTTTGAGTTCTGCCGACGAGGGGTTGGTGATCGTCCAGAATCAGCCCCCTGCGGCAGAAATGGTGGTGTACGAGGGCGGGGGTGTTAATTCGCGGTCGAGCGGGGTTGTGGTGGCTCTCGGGGGGCCCCATATTGCCCCGCAGACGCTGAACGGGGGCCCGCTCGTGGGGACTCTGGGTCCCGTTCAGAAACAGTGTGTGATGGTGCCCGTTGGATGGAAGAGGTTGCTGAATAATGGCTGCATCATCTATATCAGGTATTTGTTTATTCAAAAATTTATTTGATGATTACCAAAATAGGCTCCATAAGGCATCTAAACCACAATGGGTAGCATACACCCATGTTTCTCTAGTTTGTCATAACTACTTCATGAAAAAACTGAATTTGAAAATCCATATATTCAGTTTTTTGAAAACAACTCAAAAACAAAAAATATTGATTGAACATTTTTCAAAATTATTTTATTGACCTTTCAGGCGTGCAACTTTTCACCCTTTGAACTAAATCTGTTTCTCAAAAATCACGATTTTTTTTAATGATGAAAAAATTCTATTTTTTTTTTCAAATAATATGGAAAAATTTGATTTCTGCGAAATAACATTAAATAAATTAAAAGTAAAAAAAAAATTTTTAATAAAAAGCTTTTATTTGAATGCTCTAAAAAGAAGGAAATCAAATTTTTCTTAATAATTTTAACTATCAACTTATAACCTCATTATACACGATTTATATGATCATAAAAGTTTGTCATGGGATTCACTTGTGTGAATGAACTAGTACTTATTTAATTATGTAAAATCTGCTGAGATAAAATTTTTAAAATTACAATTCAATTAAATATTGATCATTGCCACTAGCTTTTATGATCATATAAATTGTGTATAATATGTTATGAGTTGATAGTTAAAACTATTAAGAAATATTTTATTTTCTTCTTTTTAGAGCGTTTAAATATTTAACTAAATGCTTTTTATTAAAAAGTTTTTTTTCACTTTTAATTTATTTTTTGATTTTTAATCCTTAGCTGGATTTTTCGATTTACTCTCAACGAGCCTTTTCATTTGATACACATATTGTAGAAGTATATTAAAAATAGCTATTCCGCCATCTTGGATGGTCAGCCATATTCGAGGCCATATTGGATTTAAAATAACGTCACATTATTTTTCGAATTACTCTCAACGGGCCCTTTCATTTTATACCCATATTGTATAGAAGTAGTTTAAAAATGACCATTCCGCCATCTTGGATGGTCCGCCATATTCGATTTAGAATGACGTCACATCATTTTTCGAATTACTCTCAACGAGCCCTTTCATTTTATACCCATATTGTATAGAAGTAGATTAAAAATGACCATTCCGCCATCTTGGATGGTCCGCCATATTTGATTTAGAATGACGTCACATCATTTTTCGAGTTACTCTCAACGAGCCTTTTCATTTGATACCATATTGTAAAAGTCTCGGTAATAGTATATCAAAAATAGCTATTCCGCCATCTTGGATGGTCCGCCATCTTGGATGGTCCGCCATATTGGATTTAGAATAACGTCACATCATTTTTCGAATTACTCCCAAGGAGCCCTTTCATTTGATACCCATATTGTAGAAGTAGATTGAAAATAACCATTCCGCCATATATTCGATTTAGAATGACGTCACATCATTTTTCGAGTTACTCTCAACGAGCCTTTTCATTTGATACCCATATTGTAAAAGTATATAAAAAATAGCTATTCCGCCATCTTCGATAGTCCGCCGTATTATTGGATTTAGACTAACGTTTCACACCTTAATGTGCATTGTCATCCAAACTGAACGTGTATACAAAATTTCAGCTCAATTGGTTGAAGATATCTACTTCAAAATTGAGTTCAAAGATTTCACCCGAACTTACATACATACATCCCGAGATACATCCATACACACATACAAAGCAAGAAATAAAAGCTTTTAACTTTTGAAAAATTAATGATAAAATCTTATTTTTTATGGATCCATGATGTTTCAAAATTATTTATACTGATTTATTCCTCAAATAGGTATAGGTAGAGGAGGGTAGAAATACTGAACTTAAAAATAACTTATTTTCATTATTTTTCTCTATATTTGCCACAAAAATATTCAATGCCTGATTTAGAGTTCGAAAATCTTGAAAAATCTACACAGCAAAAACAATTTTCGGCTGAACAAGAAAATTCCTTCATTTTTATAATATGCTCTTTAATGAATATTTACATTTGACTGATGATGTTTAGTTATGTTTTTATCATCACACCTACCTAATGTATGTATGTATAGTAGTATACACTTAGTTTATAATAAAAAATTATCCTGTTTTTGTCGTTTTTGAATTCCCTAATGAGTTATCTGCTTTGGTGACTTGTTTTCCAATCATACTGGCCCTCCTTATCTTGGACACAATGTAGGTATCATGGCATTATACTGCAAAAACCCAGTATGTATGATACAACAAGAACAATAAAGAGTTGTGAAATGTAGACTGTAGAACATTCAGAAAAATATGATCAAAAACATCTTGAACCATTCAAACCCTGCAAGACTGTAGAGTAGAACAAGGAGACACGTTTTCTTCTTTTTTTTTCTTCTAAAAAGATCAGACATCAGGTACAAGACCCAAATCCAATGCAACTCATAAATCTTTTAAGTCTTTCATCTTCCCACCTCTTCAGAATATCTGTTACCATTCTTGGAAATGTGCAGGCTGACTCCTATTATTACCGAGAAGGTCGTTGCTACCGCAATTTCCTTATGGACCTTTTAAAGTGTTACATTTTAAATAAGATAACGGGCCGAGAGGTACAGGGTGTTCGGACACCGAACATAAACGTTTATGCTCGGCGGTTCCGATTTGTGTTAGACCTTGAAGTATCGCAATTCTTGAATTTTGAGAACTGCCTCTTGTCAAAGTTCACAGAATCAACTTTTGTTGAGGTTCTTCTCATTTGAGTCCTCCGTCCAGTCATGAGAAATTTTGGATTTGCCGAGGGATTTGCTCTTTACTTACGTTTACTTAGCATTAAGGAGGTTCCAGCTTTTTCATTTGTTTTTTATGAAACAATTTTTTTCCCAACGGAGCTCTGAACAATATGTTTACAATAATTTTTTGGATTTTTTGGCAATTGAAAAATTACTTAGCTCTATTTTTCGGTTTTTTGATCATGTTTTAGCTAGGCCAGGAGCCAGATAATAATTGTAAAATGGCTTGTATAAAAAATATGACATTTTTTTATCCTCTGGATCACATGAGAAATAATATCTTATGTATGTTCCTGGAACATCCTGCATAGCTGAGAAGGATATTGAGAAGTTTTTAACTGGTTTTGAATCTTCGAAATTCGCTAGAATTCATTGGAATTTACTGAAATTCACTTGTATTGCTTTTGAATTCTTTCTCACAGAAATTTCTTGGAATTCACTGGCTTAGAATTAGAATTCATTAATTAAACTCCAAGGAATTTCTTTATAATTCTATGAAAATCTTTCCAAAATACTATGGGGTTTCATTAGAATTTCTTTGTGAAATCTTGTGAAATCAATTTCGGTAAAACCGAGGGTAAAACTAAAAACCGAGCTAAAATTATGAATTTGGTCTGAAAAACTCGAAAGATAGGTGTTGGGTATTTTTATGAAAATCCATGAGATTTCCAGGGTTTCTAGAACAAATTTGAAATGTGTGAAGGAATAACCACTAATCACATCATACGAGATTACCTCGGAGATTACATAAATTACATGGCAATCACATTGTAATTACTGAAGATCTCGCAAGATATAACATGGAAATCACATGGAACCAGATCCCATGGATTTCATGAGATTACAAAATAGTAAAATACACAGGCTGCATGATGATTTTACGAGAGATTTTTTGAGGTTGTGTGGTGATTACATATAGGATTAAATAGCGATCATTTCGGTGATCACCTAGCTAAAACCATCTAAAAGCATATTTGCTTTGAAAATAAACCCGGAACTCGCTCTGCAGCTCGCTCCGAAGGTACTCGGTATTTTTATGAAAATTCTTGGAACTTCCTCAAGTGTAAAGAAGAGGGTAACCGTGCACAAAAAAAAAGTTGAACCAGAGATAACATAAATCACATGGCGGAACCAGGTTACGTGGATTCCTCAATGGATTCCATAAGATAAATTACAGGGGTTACATCTCGGGTTACATGGTGATCACAAGAGATACGCGAATTACATGGTGATTTCATGAGATTGTATAGTGATTACCTCGGCTATTACATGAGAATAAATGAAAATCACATGAACACTGAATTTTATGGTTACATGGTGATCCCATGATATCGTACCTAGAATTGAATGTTTTGATAATTACTATAAGAGTTTACATGGTGATTGACGAGATGATTGACGACAGGATATAAAACCAGAGAAATATAGGGATGACATGGAATTAGATGATGGCGATTATACACAATTATAATGATTACCTAGAGTAGCATGGTAAGTACATGAGGATTACATAGTGATTACAGCTTGCTCATTAATTATTAAAGCCATTCGTCGGCGGAGATGATACGAAATATCGGCGGACATTGAAGAAACACTACCGCGGTCAGAAATGTGTACACCAGATTTTAATTTTACATGGGATTCCAGAGAATTCCAGTTGTTTGTAGACCAGATTTATTCCGGTTGTTTGCTCGGTTTGTCGATCAGAATAATACCGCACTTCACCCAAAGAATACCAAGGAAAATCCAAGGAATTCCAGTTGTTTTTACACCAGAATTCTACTGCGGTCTACCCCTCGAAGAAAACATGAGACTAAAAATGAGAATATTACTCGGTTCCTACCTAAGTAGCTTTAGAGGAAGTGAGCAAAACAAGAGAAAATATTCGTACGATTAAAAGTACCTTGACTGTAAAAACAACCTTTCTTCTTTTTCGGCAACGACACAACCCGGCGAAAACGCCGTCAATTTATGTGTATGTATACAAAACAAATGTCCTTATCCTATGCGAATGCCTCTAAGAAGCGTTCAATTAAGAAACCATCGGTCGTATGGCTCTCGTGATCCGATTCCGAACAAAAATCGTCGAGAATTCGTTCAGAGCACACTAGAATATGGACGTGACAGACTTACTGATGATGGTGATGCGCTACAAATCAACCAGACTGAAGCGAAGACGTTGACGTTGAGTCCAGGGTTGCCAACTATACAATGAAAACATTCGCGATGAAAACGCCGATCTGTCTCTGCCTGTCTCTGTTTGTTTCTGCCTGTGACTGTTT